ACCGAGGCCATAAAATCCGTCACAAAATTAGATTCGCGATAGCCATGAACGAGCACAGTCCTCCATGAGCGACTCAACAAGTCCCGAACGGCCCGAATAAGCCCCCCATACGGTCCAGTCGTTTCCTCGCGGTGAACCATCTCTATAATGCTCTTGTTATCGACCTCCAATATAACGTTACGGGCCCCAACATCCCAAGTCAACTGTAGGCCCTGTAGCAATTCCCATAACTCGGCCCCAATAATCGAGCAGTAACCAATATTCATCATAAAGCCACTGACCCAATTTCCAAGATGATCCCGGATGACTCCCCCCGCACTAGCCATCCCCGACGACGGAATATAGCTACCATCCGTATTAACCTTTAACACGCCTTCCGGCGGATCTGACCAAGCAATCCATCTCGTCTCCCGAATGGCACTCGCCCCAAGCCGTTGGCTCTCCATCAGGGCGCCCCGTACTTGACTGGAAAGAGTCAAAACCTCACGCACCCGACTATCCAAATCGAACTCGGTACCTTCAAAAACCGCGAGGTTTCTCCATCGCCACAAACGCCAAGCTGTGAGCCCGAACACAGTCACCCAATCCTCCGCTTCAGGGAAAGGCGGCCCGAAAGATTTTGTGTCAACCAACACCGAAGGTTTGAAGAAAAAAACCGTCGCCACTGAGCCCGCGGGACTAGCCGTTGCCACGTTGACCGCGTCGCCTCGCAGTCTCGTAACACATGAAGCGTTGACTCCTCCGCCACCGCACACATCGGACAGACAGGTGAGCTCGCCATGTGCTGTCGCACTTGCATCGTATTTGTCAAGAGACTCTCCCGCGCGGCCAACCACAGAAAGGAACGAACCAGCTGCGGCCCACCCCACCGCCAAATCAGCCGCCATATCCCATCTTCATTACCTGCTTCAGGCTGTTGTAGCACCGAATAAGCCGACCTAGTGGAGAAGGAACCATCGGCCGATCACCCCCAATATATCGCATCCTCCCGGCCATCCTCCCGTGGCGGTGGGACCGCGGCGATCCGAAGCAAACAGGTTGCCGGCAGCCACCCCTGAAACGCCGGCCAATCCCACCGGCCATCGGAACCAACGTAGGCGTTAACCGGGGCAAACAGGAACTCCTCCGGAATCGGGCGGGTCGAGAAAGACGCTAACGGTTCCTGGAGACCCACCCATCAATCCCACCAAAAACGAGCCCGGTTACCATTCGCCATAGTCCATCGACACCCCACCACGGTCTCCTTCCAAACATCGTGAATAGCCCGAAGAACCGTCGAGCCCCGTGGAAAATCATAATCCATCCCCATATTCATCGGTTCTAGATTATACTTCGCCTTAAGCACCCGACACCACAGCAAATGCGGCTTAGAGAAGAAATTCCAAGCCAACTTCATAAGCAAGGCCTTGTTCATTAGGCGCTGCTCTTTCAGCCCCAAACCACCAACAGACTTAGGATGAAAAACCTCGGACCAAGACACCAGACTGACTTTTCGAGAAGTCCCCGTACCCCCCCACACAAAATTCCATCACTTCCTCTCCAAACTATCACACACCCCATGCGGCAGCGAAGCCGTTTGCATAGCATAATATGGTAGGGAGGCCAGAATGGACTGGGTAAGTGTGACTCTTCCCGCCATCGAAAGAGACGAAGCCTTCCTGTTCGCCTATATTTTTAAAGCTCGACCGCAAGTGTACGGCTTCGCTCGTAGTATGTGGCAAGCAAGGTCGTATCCCAAGAGACCAAACAACTAATTAATCAAGTACTAGATTATGATAGTGCCAATTTTATTTAGACGACCGAATACAAGATTGATTAACTAAACTAAGAAAATAATTCAAAAGATAAGAAAGCGATAACAAGAAAACAACTAGAAAAACACTTAAGAAGAATATATGGGAATGGTAGATTCTAAGACTATGGGTTCAATTAACAGTTGGGTTCCTTCAAATATATCACAATTAACTATTTTCTTTATCTACCCTATAAGATGATCACAAAATTAGCCTATCGTCCCTCTCGAGATCGATAAAACCGTAGATTAAATCACATATATTAGCGTCTCCACTCAACACATGCAATTCAACTCCAAAAAGATTAAAAGACCCAAAATCCTCACAATTACCTACTAATCTCTCGATTCAAGCAAGTAAATTATGTCAAGTATTAAAGACCTAATATTGAACTCATCTCTCGAATTATGAACAATATTGTCAAACATGTAAAAGAATTGATCAAGTTCTAAACATGGAATAAGAACAAAATACTTGAATAGGGTTCAAAAGAAAAACAATCAATTATAAATAAATCATCCAAAATCCCAACATATTAATCTACTACCAAGTCTTAGAATCAATAAATCTAGCTACTCATGTTCGAATTCAAACACATAGACATATTCGAAATCGACATGATCAATAAAAGTTCAAGAGGAAAGAAGAAATAAAAACTAGGAATCTCGTCTATCTTTCAATCTTCTTGATTCCTTCGTAGTTGATCTTCCTTTTGCTCCTCAATTGCTTCCCTTGTGTGTTCTAAGCCTTTCTCCTTGTGTCCTCTCTGTTCATCCTTCAGAATAGAGTTAATATGCTCTTTTTAATGTCCAAAAACTCCTCTCCTTATCCAAAAAGGCAAGAGATTAACACACGACCCGACACGCCCATGTCACAGGTCGTGTCACGGGTCGTGTCAGGTCTCTGAGCTTTGAATTCTTTCTGTTGAGGTGACATGGGCTCTGACACGGGCTGGTTGGTCGTGTCCCAGCCCGTGTCACACCCCAGCATGCACGTTTTTGTCCGTTTTGCTCGTTTCTTCCATTTTTCTCATCCGTGCATCGATCTATCATCATCCCGGGAGTCTTAGGCACTCACCATGCTCCTCCAATAGCCAAAGCTCTACAAATATGTGAAAATATCTACAAAACAAGCACGTGTAATACCTTTCCAACAAATATAGAATTAAAGCACAATAATGCAATTTGTACACCAATAATGCGACAAATAAGCTTTAGATACTAGATGAATATGGTGTAAAATCACACATGAACAAACCCCCAAACTTCAACCATTGATAGTCCCGATCAATGCATCTCATTCTCTCAACACACAAAGAAAAACAATCACAACTCTCAAAGTCAATCATACACATCATCAGTAGTCATCAGGCAAATAACATACTAAATTCTGGAATCTTTAAACAAAAAGAATGCTTCATCAAGATCATGGTCAATACTTTCAATCCACAAACCTCACCGGATAAGTGTATACTCTCACTCTCGAAAGTGTATAGGGAAATAATCGCTCAAATCAATTCAATGTCAAAGAATTACCATAAGCTTGCAAATCGTCTACTATCTCCACCACTTATAGTGCATGCATTTCATGAATCAAAAAGGAGTTTTTATTTGGTTGTAATGTAGGCTCTTTGGTTAGGGTAAGAAAAATATGGACAAAGTGACGAACATATGAGTATCTAGAACTACAAAACATGAACCACAACAATTCATCTCCTTATCAACATAACCCATCCACTACCCAAATTCAATCAATTCTCTCAAGCCATAAGAGAATGAAGATCAAACAAAAAACCAAAAATCGCCTTTATCTGAACTAAGGCCAACTATACAAAATAAATTATTTTTCTTTTTTTTTTTCCTTTTTTTTTCTTTTTTTTTTGTTTTTTTTTTCAATGGCCTCATTCAATGACCTTATTCAAATTCCCCAACAATATTTTCATCCCAAAACATCCCTTTTTTTTTTTTTCTCACCACCACAACATACTCATCCCTTCACATAATATAATCCTAAATGCTCAAGTAGGGACAAGGAAATAAAAAGATAATAGCTTAATGTGTGGCAATTAATAAAATAGGCAAAAGTTCAAAAGGGTTGACTAGGGAATAAAAACATTACTTGGTAAGCTAAAAGTCAAAAGGGCTAAAACAAAAAAAAATATATGCCTTAAATCATTTTCACAAAAAGCACACACCATGTAGTCTCAATATAGATACCAATGCAAGTTCTAGAATTCAACAACAATGAACGATATACTCAATCAACAAAGTATAAAGCTCAAAAGCTCACAAGTGATCATATGTTCATGAATTAAAAGAATTAACCAATCATTCAAATTCACAATGCAATTCATCATCAAATTCCATCACCTAGTACGTCATGCCCAAATTTCATATCCAATATGCATAACAAACTTATCAAGGTGAATCCAAGTTGATCAATTACAATTACTCAAATCCTACAAAAGCAATAAACGTGCTAAAGCAATAACCCTAAGATATGATATGCAAGATAATGTGTAGGATATCTTGTTATCTTCTCTCTAAATTTCTCAAATCAAAATATAACATCTCCCCCCAAACTTGAATGAAATTATATGAAGCACATAAGGGGAGAATAGAATTTCAATAAAAGTAAAATAGAGATGACTCACAAAACATTACTGGAGATGTGGCGATTGTTGATATGGATCTCGAAGCATGTCCTTCGTCATGTAAATCTCTCCACGTAGTGTTCTGCAAGGAAGAAAAACAAAATATCAAACAAATAAAAAATAAAACTAACCAAAAAAATAAAAAAAAAATAAAGCAGTAAACATTGGGTTGCCTCCCAAGAAGCGCTAAGTTTAACGTCTTCAGCCAGACGCCTGTAAGAATCACGGCTCCTTCAAAGTCATGTAGGATAACTTCTCATTTTGGTACGAATGAAAGTAGTGCTTTATCCGTTGTCCGTTGACTACAAAGGTCTCGCCGTCTCGTGCAACCAATTCCTCTTCCTCCTTTGTCATTACTGTCATTCCTCCCTTTTTCGGTACAACTTGCATCGGGCTCACCCACTCACTATCAGAAATGGCAACTATAATCCCTAAATATGAACATGTCAAATGATCTGGCAATGGTTTGAGCTCCAAAATCGGTGTGTCAGGCTTTGAAGAACTTGATTTGGGTGAAATAGGGTGAAAAGTACATCTGACACGACCCCCGACACGGGTCGTGCTTGGTTGTTCGGGTCGTGTCGCGTTCCGTGCTCAAAAACACATCTCTGATGACCTGACACGTCCACCTGACATGGCCCGTGTCGCAGGTCGTGTCGAATCTGGGCAGATTTTTTAACTTCCAGGTTCTTGACACGACCACTTGACACGGGCTGGTTGGTCGTGTCACAGTCCGTGTCACCCCTGCAGAGCCTACTTTCGCATCTTTTCTTCTTCTTTTCGATCCCAAAACTCAAAATCTCTTTTGGCTCGCTTTCCTCCTGCATAGAATCCAAAGAAAACACATATTCAAGTATCGAATCATTAGGAGAACAAGAATTAATCAATCCATATTCCAAAGAATCTCTAGACAATGCATGATCAAGATGGGACAAAACGCATGAATCTATAGTATCAAGAAAGTTACAATGCGCGTTATTATCATGAAATTTCATAGCCTTATAAAACGACACATGCTCATCATTAACACGCAAAGTAAGTTCTCCATTTTTTACGTCAATCAAGGCATCTCCAGTCGCTAGAAACGGTCTTCCTAGAATCAATGGCACATCGTTATCTTCCTCCATTTCCAACACAACGAAATCCACTGGAAATATAAATTTATCAATCTTCACAAGCACATCCTCAACAATTCCCTTGGGATATGTTATCGAACGATCCGCTAATTGCAAGGTTACCGTAGATGGCTTCACTTCTCCCAATCCTAGCTTCTTGAAAATCGACAAAGGCATGAGATTAATACTAGCACCAAGATCACATAAAGCATTGTTAATGGAAATATTTCCAATAGTGCAAGGAATCGTAAAACTCCGAGGGTCCTTAAGCTTTTGAGGAATCGTGCGTTGGATGATTGCACTACGCTCTTCTGTTAAAGTCACCGTCTCATGTTCATCAATCTCCCTCTTCTTCACAAGTCGTTGAGGAAACGGTAAAGGAATAGAAAGTTTAGGAGAGCCAAAGTCAGAATTAAATGTATTCCCAGGCCTCAATGTTGTTACCACACTTGGTTCTTTCTCCGACATATCTAGACCTTCATACTCTATTTCATCTCGTAGATAGATGGCATGACATTGCTCTTTCGGGTTCAACTCGGTATTGCTCGGAAATTGACCCCTTTGGTGCTGGCTTCCCACGGCTTTGGCCAGTTGGCCAATTTGCATCTCTAAATTTTTCAATTGAGCTCCCACTGTCGTAGCCAATTGTGTCACTTGATTCTCAATCTTGTCCAACTTCTCCTCATCTCTGTTGAAACGATTTCTCGTCTCATTCATGAAAGCTATCAGAATATCTTCCATGTCCGTCTTCTTCTCTTCAACGATCTCACCGTTGACCACCTTGAATCCCAGTGGTGGTTGGAGCACATTCTTCGTATTTCCATAGGAAAAATTTTCATGATTCCTATTATTCGGGTGATAGAAACCCGGCATCGGATTGGAGCGATAATTGTTGAAGTTCCGATTATTGATAAAGTTAGCCTCTTCTAAGGGGTCTGGTGGTAACACTTTGCCTTGTATCCCACTCATCTCATCAGCCCCTTTTGTCAATGCATTCAATTTCGTCGTCAAGGACGACATTTGAGCTGCTAACTCCTTAATCGGGTCATAAGTCGTCACCTCCGCTACTCGTCTGATGCTCGACCTCTCGGAAGGCCATTGATAACTATTCACGGCCATCTCTTCCAATAAGTTGTACGCTTCCTCCGGTGTTTTAGCCATTAGAGCTCCTCCAGCAGCCGCATCTACAAAGGCTCTCGTTTGCCCCAACAACCCGTTATAGAAGAAACAAAGTTGTTGATCATCTGGAAAACCATGTCGAGGGCATCTTCTTAACAACTCTCTAAATCGATACCACGCCTCGTATAAAGGCTCCGAGTCTTGCTGCCTGAATTGAGTAATCTCGCTTTTGAGTTGCATCGACTTGCTTGAAGGAAAATATTTAAGCAAGAACTTCTGGTTCAACTCCTCCCAAATCTTAATGCTCCCATCAGAAATCATCGACAACCAACTCCGAGCTTTATCCCTTAGAGAGAAGGTAAATAGACGTAGCCGTATGGCATCCTCGGAGACACCATTGTACTTGACCAAATCACAAATTTGCAGAAACTGGGTCAAGTGTTGATTCGGATCCTCGGTCGGGTGTCCACCAAATTGGTTGTTCTGCACCATCGAGATATAGGAGGGCTTCAACTCGAAATTATTCGTATTGACGGGTATATGCGCAATCCCGCCAAAATTCTTATTAAATTCAGGCCGAAAGTGGTCACGAATCGCTTGCTTCTGTTGTTCTTGCTCTGCCATTATGCACTTTGACTTGCCCTTTCTTTTTCTAGTTGTTGCACTATTGCGTCTAGCGAATGCTTCAACTTCATCAATCAGGGGTTGTAGTGGAGCACTTTTAGAGCGAGTTAACATGCACGTCCTGAAATCAAGAATAAGAAAGATTATGTCACAAATAAATAAAAAAATATCTAAATTAAAATTTTCAATACCTATCCTAATATTGATATAACTAATTAAATTGGTCCCCAGAAACGGCACCAAAAACTTGTTCGCCTATATTTTTAAAGCTCGACCGCAAGTGTACGGCTTCGCTCGTAGTATGTGGCAAGCAAGGTCGTATCCCAAGAGACCAGACAACCAATTAATCAAGTACTAGATTATGATAGTGCCAATTTTATTTAGACGACCGAATACAAGATTGATTAACTAAACTAAGAAAATAATTCAAAAGATAAGAAAGCGATAACAAGAAAACAACTAGAATAAACATTTCAGGACAATTATCAGCTCTTTAATGTATGACAATGTTTCAGTATGATATGAACATGCTTAATATTAAAATGAACATGTATAATACAAAATTAAGACGTTTGAAAAGAAGAGCAGTATGTTCAATTGAACCATTATGCGAATCATCTTGAAGATGTTTAATATGAACTACCGTTTATCTTTCTGTTGAACTTTTTGTTGCTGGCTTTGCTCGGCAACAATTTCTGGCCTGCTCTTTTTCATCTTTGCGGCCACTATTTTATCCTGTGAGAGACAAAATTAATAAAATATTATACATCATCAGAAAATTACTTCGAAAGTGAGTTGAAATCATAATCGGAATAGTTTAAACCAAAGGCACAAAATACATACCATCATATTCTTCAATGTCTCGTTTTCCATCTGCTATTCATTGACCGATTCAGTAGTTTTTCATTTGTAAATTTAACATTTACAATCATTAAACTGAAATTTAATTGACATAAAAAGCAAATAAATCTTACCTGTGAAGGTTCGTCAGAAATTGAGCGTTTCCAAGTTTCAATTTGCTTCACCAGTTTGTATTATCTTTGCTAAATGAGTGGTCAAAAAATACACCTCCATTTGGGTGTGTTGGTTGTTTGGTTTTGGTTTTTGAATGACAATGGATGTTTTGGTTAAGTGGATGAATGGTTTGAAACTTGTATGGTTTTTGAAACTTGAATGGTTATGGGTTCTGTTTATGGAAATGGTTTTTGTTTTTTGTTTGTATCGTATGATTATGGAAATGGCTTTTGTTGGTTGATGGTTTTGCTAAGTGGATGTTCATCTTGTGCTTTTGATAATTAAGTTTGTTTGTTTTGATGCTTAATGAATGGTTCTGCTATAAGAATGTCTCATGTTCAAGCATTGTTTACTGATGAATGCATTAGTTAGTTCAGGTTTTGACAGTTTTTGAATATCAACATGCTGCTAAAATGTTTATAAACACAATACACAATGTTTAAACAGGTTTTGACATCAACATGCTGCTAAAATGGTTATAAACAAAATACACAATGTTTAAACATTAACATGACAGATCAACAAAGACAGTGTTCATTCCCTTACAAACTTGCAGCAATCCATTAAAACACTTCAATCAAAACAAAGTCACAGCAATCCATTACAACAAACAAAACAAAGTTGTCATGACAGAAACAGAAAGCTCACAATGACAGACCATCGCTGAAGAAAAAAAAAATATACATTTTTCACCACTTGACAAAATTAAAAATGATGAGCAGAACCCATGTTGCAGCAACAAACACTTCGAGCTTCCATATTTTTTTTCAAATTTTGGAAAATTCTTCCACATAAATATGTTGCGCATGAAATTGGAGTTCAACACTCTCTTTTATTTTTTTTGTTTTCGGCTTCAAGCAGTAACATCTTGTTCCTGAGTTCAATCAATTCAATGGCCAGAATCTGATTGTTCGAGCAATCTGCTTCATCTTCCCATTTAAAGAAATTACCACCCCCATTCTGCCAATTCTTGCATCCATGAAATTTCTTACCGGGATTTGATGGAGTCTTTGATGTGCGTAATTGAGCTCTCAAACCGCATTCGCAAAATAGATTAGAAGGAGAAGAGAACGAAGAAGAAGAAGATGTTGGCATCGGTAGAAATTGAAAAAATTAGGGCTAAGATTTGGGGATTTGGCTTTATCGGGTATTTAAGGGGGAGAAAATGTGGTGATGTGGCAATCTGATTTTCCAACTAGCACAGTAATAGTTATTATATTAACATGAAGAGGCCACATCAGATAAATTAAACGGCACGTGACGCCACGTCGATTTTTAATCCGGGGTCCGGATAAAATAGGACCAAATTTGATTAAATGGACAATTTATAGGACCAATAATGAAAGTGGCCAACGGCGGGGTGGTTTTGTGGAAAGTGGCCAACATAGAGGAACAAAAATGAAATTTTGCCCCATATATAGTGCATACTTCTGAAACAATGAAGTTATGGTTTATTATGCAATGACCGTAAACAATAGTCCGGGACAATCGTTATCTCTAACAAAAAAGTTGTGTACAATATATAAATTTTAATATTTCACATGTTAAACATTCTATAAAAATTTTAATAATTGTTTTGTTTATGGAATATAAATTTTTAAAATGAAAATAAAACATCATGAAATAATTTTTTCAACCAATTATGTACGTCTAGCGGGACCGTTTATTTTAAATTTTGTTCGACTAATATTATTAAATGTTCATAGAATCAAATTTAAATAAATCATTAGATATGGTGAACAACTGTTGCGGCAATCACGAAAGGTTTTCAATTAATTGATTTACTTTAAAATATCAATGATCAATCTCTAACTACTATCCACTAGACCACGTCCGAATTTCAAGAGACTGGTTTTGGAAACCGATAAACTTTATTAATAAAATAAATATATATTAATCTAATATTTCATCTTCACAAATTCGAACGGTGGTATACAAACATACAATTCCCCTTGGAGATAAGATCTAGATTCTCGTTGGGCACAGTACTACGAATACACAAATAAATGGAAAAACACGAAGACACTGGTATCAATCTTGATAAAGAGAGCGATCAACAAACAACCGATCAGTGCCAAAACGTTTGCAACGAGCAGATGCTGAATAACAAATTCCTAACTTGGGAACTTGCAGAAAAATGGTACATTGATTATGCAAGAAATGTCGGGTTCGATGTACGACGATGCTGCTGCAAGACTTCAAAGATGGCATAGTGAAGAACAGACAATGGGAGTGTTCAAACGCAGGTTACAGACGGATAATTTCAGAAGGGCACCAAAGAATTAGACGGGAAAAAACAAACAATAGATGTGGTTGCCCTGCTAAATTTCGTGTTGCACGTGACATCCGTGGCGGATTGTACAGGGTAACAAATTTCGACAAATCACACAATCATCCATTAGAGAGTTCCGAAACAGTACATCATCTGAAGTGTAACAGGTAATTAATATTTATAGAAATATATTTTACATATAGTTTTTGCTTTCTACGTTTGTC